GTAGTCGAAAAGCCGAAAAAGTGAAATTTGAATTTCTTCAATAGAAATCAAATTTATACTCAGAATGAAATTGAAAATAGCAATTAACAAATTTTAATTGAATGCATTTACCGATAAACGCGATTTTTATTTTTGCGTCAATTTTCACAACTCGGGTAAATACGTATATACAGAACGATCTATATGAAATTTGCAAACAAGTTATTGGTACAAATCAAATATTGCATTGATCTGGAAATAATATTTCAGATTTATTAAATCCCTCAGCCTGCGGGCTTGGGCTTTAAATGCATGATCGTGTTTCTGCATTTGATAATGCTCGAAAAAAGTGCATAAACCATCTTTTATTTAAACAAGCACTCTATAGTCCATATGATTGTGCTTTAAAGTAAATATTTTACAACTACGACTACAACTTATTAGTATTACAATTACAACATCGAGATTATTTCTAGTATTGCAATTACAATTACGAGGTTCTAGTAAATGTATTTATAGGATGTATCAATAGGAAAACATTTTTCATTATGATGATATTAAAGATTATTTAGAATTTCCGCATTTCTGAAAAAGCCCTTCTGGCAGCAAAATTTTAGTTCAGAAAAAGTCCATAACTGATAAACAAGACTGTAAATTTTGTTTTTATATTGCATACAGGTCTCCTGTAAGGATATATGTTGTCAATTTTACAGTTTCTTATAGTGTCAATCAGGGGTCTCCAACCTTAAACGTAACACCGTACGTGGAGCGTATGACATCTCATGTTTGTGACGTCATCGTACATCTTTTCTTGTAATTGTACATTAATGTATTTATTGTACTGACAGATGAAAAGCTATACAATATTTGCTAAAAAGTATCCAATATTTAAATATTGGCCACTTTTCCATTAAATATTTATCAAAATAATGAACAATTACTTTTTATTGTATTTGCAGATGTGTGAATATAATGTCTCAGTGCGAGTCAAAAACAAAAATATACTGACGCATTAAATTCAAACATCTGTTATAAAAGAATAACGTCTAATGCTTAGAATATAGATACTATGCTGAATATTTGAAAAAAAAATATGCTTGATATTTTTTTATTTTAAAGACATTTTCCCATAATTCATTTATTTAGTTTCTTATAAAGTCTTAGGAATACAAAATTCATCTCTTTATTTGTCAACAAATTCTTAGAAACACAGAATTCATTCTTTATTTTTCAAATGAAACTGACCGTTGGTAAACAAGAAAACTTTTACATTAGTTTGTGTGCGATTCTTCTCAGGTACAAACTAAGTAGGCATGCTATTAAACAAACATTTCGTTCCTATAAATATAGGTTTGACAAAAAAGTGTAGTTCTGTATATTGTCAAATGCCTTGAATGCATGCATTTATCACTATTTAATGAAATGTACACATGACTGTTGATGGCTAAATAAATCATAGGGAACATTAGTAAGTTATAAGCAATATCAAACGTATATTTAAAAAATCTAAAAGAAGGCATGAAGCATTTTAACATAGTATAAACACGAGTAAAAGTATACAAAAATTATCATTCTGCTTATATCATAACGTTATCATCAAAGAAAAAGAACAAAATAAAACAATGGAAACTCCAACCGTAGATTTTTGATGAATTTGTTGTCTTTATTATTATTATTTCCCTTAACTGTAACCAGTGAAACTGTTTTAAATCAAATACTTTTATCTAAAGACTATTAACCATGTTCAAATAATCTTATAAATCGATTGTTAATTTTTTTTGAAGGACTGTGACAGCTTTTATCTTCAATTTCTTTAGCAATATTTTAGTCTTGGATTCATATCTTAATTGTTTTAAATGCTGCATCGAGCACTTTGGATTATGTCTATTTCAGCAATTTGATCGGGAAATTAAGAAGAACATGTTTTAATTATTTTTTTTTAATTTTTGTACAATGTTTCAGTGATTTACAATTTACAAAGACTATTATTTACATGGAAGGGAGAATAATAATGTGGGGCTATTTAACAATGAAGAAAGAGTTATAATGCAGGACTATTTTACAAGGAAGGGATAGTTATAATGCAGGAGTATTTTACAAGGAAGGGAGAGTAATAATATGGGACTTTTTTATAAGGAAGGGAGAGTAATAATGTGGGGCTATTTTACAAAGAAGAGTGATCAATATGTTAGGATTATTATTATTTATCTAGTAGGTTGTAGTATTACATTGATTGACAAAGATTAAGATTAAGAATTTGAAACGCGTCACATAAGTGTTTATAAAATGATATTTATGGATGTTTTTGAACGTTGTGAAAATGGCAGAAAACAAGTTCCATGTTCAAGCACGTGACAATGTCGTAATAAAATGCAACATATTTTGACATCAGGCTTGAAAAAAATAAATTTGCTGTCAAAGGTACGATATGGGAAACCGAGGCACGTGCTTTTGTGTACATTTGGACAGCTTACAAAAAGGAAAATTTCAGAAAATTTGAAATTAAAATGACGCTCTTCGATGTCTTACAAAATTCAATGTATTCTTATTCTGTTACGGAGATGATTAACAGAAGTTTCTTTGATAATTTGACCTTTTTGTCAAGACAAATGTGCCGAATGCCAGTGCCGGTTTGTGCTGTGGACCTGTTTTAATGTTTGTATGAACAGAAAACAAACAAAACAAAGACAAAAAAACACATACAACAAAAACAATGAAAAGTAGTTCAGATATTGTTGAATAATTGAAAATCATCTCTCATTTTACTGCATAGGTTTGCATCTGGGAATCTTCTTCTTCTTCTTTTAAATATTTTTTCTTGTTTTCTTTTTATGATGATTTTGCTTATATATCTTTTACTTCTTTATTTTTTATTTGTACAATTCATTTTTTAACGATAATACAGTACATATACTGAATATAGAAATTCAATTTGTCTGATATTCTCGATATTTAGGTATATGTTTATGCATATTATATAGGTGTTTCTTATTGAGTACCCGTGTTATTTGGCCCACTTCTGAAGCATTATCGGTATCGGTACCTTCGTTGTCACTCACATGACTAATGAAACGTTCTAAACCTTCTTCTAACGCAGTATCGCTTATCCATGACGCTCTTCAATTTTTTAAATCTGTTTTTAACAGAACTAATCAAAATCTTTTCAAATCAATTGACTGAATTGAAGAAAAATAGTTAAGTCTTACTAGGAGTCGGACTTATACTTGTATGGGTATCACTCATCCCTGTTACGATTGCGCTAACAAGACATGAGATAACATGTAATTTTATGTTGATTTTGTATTATGAGATTTCAATCTACCTTATCTACTTTTTGAAGTGTTATTGATATTCTTTGTTAGGTAAACAAAGGCTTAAGTTATCATCCTAGGACAGTATTAGTCGAACACGATTATGTCGTACCATTATAATATAATTGGTTGTGAGTTGTTCAGTTATACATAAAGCTTTTTTATTGCAAAATAGATGATGACGGTTAAAAAAGCTGAATGTATTTGTCGAATTTAACAGTCATTGAACAGATTGAACAGTATTATCAATTTTAATGTTCTTATTCGAAACTCAATTCTGAATTCAGACTGTATTCAATTTTGCTACATTTTAATCAATTTTGGATCATCTAAATTTTCTGATTTATCAGCCTAATCACAATTAACTATGTTGTCTCTAATCTGTTGAAAGCGAATGTTTGTACAGTTAGTATAGTGTGAAAGAAATTCACAAGTAACTGTAAATTATATAAAAAGCAAAACAAAAATGCCTTTTCGAGGTATCGAGACAGGGTCTATACACTCACGAAGTAAACATTCGATCCACCACAAGGTTATTACACCGAACTGATAAAAAGGAGTAATTATTAAGATTTAGGCGATGAATAAATAGTATGCTTTAATATAAGACTTATAGACACCCCTATTTGTCAATATTGGTGTAACCAGACAATGAAAGGAATAACAAATTAGTGCTTTATGTTCATACATGTGTAAGGACCTCTATAATGCTTTAATCAATTTTTACTATAAGCCATATAAACGTTATCGTACTAGTATTAAACTTTCTGCGGTACCATATGTTTTCTGTTAAATAAGATAATGTTTTCCCCTCCCACCTATCCAAAAATCACAGCTGTCCAAACAAGAATTACTTACATGTGTTTTATCCCTTACATGATAAATTCTGTTGTTGAATTCTGCTAAGGCCGGTGCTGGGGAGCGTGGACGGCTCAACCAAACCGAAACTGCAGTATTTTCAAGGTTTTCGCTTTGTGCGTTTTTCAGGGATTCTTTATTTCTCTCTATTTTATAGATCATAGAAGTAATGTCTGTCCATGATATGCACATATCTGTCTTATCTGTTTTTTCAAAGTTAATATACAAACTAAACTTTAATCCGATACTAACATTCACATTTATTTTTAATTATAATCTTAGATAGAAAAAAATATGGATAACAAAATCTACTTACATTACCCAAAATGGTGAAGGAGACACGGGAAGGGACAAAAATTATTTATAAATTCAGGCCTGTTTAAAACAAAATAACATACCGAGTTCATTCTTATCATCTATTGCTCAATTTATATACATTTATTTAACACGGCTTTCTTTCTTTAAAAATGTAAAGCCTTTTATCGTTGACCGATATCAAGCAGGACCAATGCAATAGATCTGTACTTGTGTAGACTGAAGAATCAAAGTAGTTCTTTTATCTTGAAGGTTTTGATAATTACTATAGCAACGTGCCGAATGGTACGTTAAGAAAACTAAAAATCAAACAGGAAGAGAACATATGTGAAATATAAATGTGCAAATAAGAAGACTCTTTGTCTATAATTTCTAATACATAAACGCAATAATAGTAACATTTGTATAAAAAACGACGGCTTTTAAGTATTAATGAATTAATTCTTTTTGTGTAAAATTTATTCAGTTATAATAAAATGGCGGAACAAGTAAGAGGAAAAAAAACCAAAAGAAGAAATTGAACACTCTACATCACGAATGCGGGGAATAAAAAGTTCCGTGGCGTCTATTTATCTAAGCTCTGAGGAGGTAACGTTAAGTGACAAGAAATCAGGGGTGTCATCAGTTTACAAAAGTTCGGAGGAGTATTACGAGTGCGATCCTTGTATAACTGCCGGAGATCATGCCGAGGCTGAGGGGTTTTGTACTGATTGTAACGAATATCTTTGCAGTACGTGCTTTCGTAGTCATTCAAGAAGCAAAACATCAAAATATCACGTTTTGCTGAGCAAAGATGACATGCCGAGAAAATCTCCTAAATTCTGCAATCCGTGTAAAGTTGCTGGTGACGATATCAAGGCAGTTGGTTACTGTGAAGATTGCTGCGACTGTCTTTGTAGTGATTGTTTCAAAGGCCATCATAGAAATAAATTTACAAGGCATCACGTGATTGTTAAGGACGAGACACTTGTTGCAGTAGATCAAGATATTGCATCTTCTATTTCAAAAATAACGGTAAAAGAGAATATTACTAGCGGAGTAAACAAGAACGAAGAGTTTACTTTCATCCAAGATATCAACGTTAAATCAGATACTGACGGAAAGGACTGCTATATTACAGGCATGACGTTAGTCTCTGACAATGGACTTGTTCTATGTGATTATTACAATCAATGCTTAAAACTCGTTGATATCAACAAAAAAATAATCAAGGACGTCTTATCATTACAATGCGAACACCTTGGAATTACAACGATATCAAATGACCAGATCGCTGTTGTATGAAAAAACAGTTATCAGATACAGCTAGTGAAAGTAAGTAAAAAACTGACACTAGGTCGTTCAATAAAAACAAATGGTAACTGTGTAGATGTGAAGATGATCAACAATCAGTTATATGTTTCATTGTGGCAACCTGTAAAGTTTCAGATACTACAGCTGACAGGGGCAATTATCAAGACCATCAAACCTGATAATGAGATACTCAAACATTGTACATTAGCTCGTGATATTGCCGTGAGTCATGATGAGAGCGTGATCTATGTATCCGAATGGAAAACTAACAAAGATATGTCCCTTGATATGAATGGTAATATGTTAGCATTGTTTCAAGGTGAGTTAGATCTCCCGCAAGGTATTATCACCTCTCCGTCTGGATCAGTCTACGTCTGTAATAGAAATCAGGACATCGTGTACAAGATGACGTCAGACCTGAGTGAAGCTATGGTGATACTGGGACCAGGAGATGGATTGAAGTTTCCGCATGCAACGTGTTTGAATAAGAAAAATCAACATCTGTACATCAGTAGTGCAAGTGGTGAAGCAAAATATAAGAATACTTTAAAAGTTTACAAATGTTAAGTAATAGTACACTTGGCGTTTATAGTGAGATCAGTATAATATTTTTCAAAGGAAAACAGAAACAATTACTGTCAAACATCATCGACAGAATCATTTATATTGGAAAAAAGGATTTTAATCATGATGATATATATGAAGACAATATCAATATTTGCAAGGTGGTGTGATCAGATATTTTTTTATAGATTGTCATTTATTATGGAAGTTTAAGAAAAATTCAAATAAACGTTTAATATATACATGACTTATGATGAAAGAATCAGATATATCGGAAGTTAAAAGAAATATAGATATGAGAATATACGTGATGAAAATAACAATATTTGCAGGTGGCATGATCGGATACAAGGGCACTGTTATGTTTATATGGCGACTTTTCTACTATATTTGAGACATCCATGCATTATTTACGGTACGAGTGGGTATCTCAGTTAAATTACCGACGTTTCTTCAGCTTGCTGGATAGCTTCCCCATATGAAATAATTCAATGTTTCTGACGGGACTTAAAGTAACAACGATGAAAGCATTTACCACTTGGCAATAGCTGCCCCTCAACAATAGATAGGATATGAGATTAGAAAAGTTAATTTAAATTTCCCTAATATTGTTCAAGGACAAAGTGATAAGTTAGATAAAAAGCTGACCTTTTTGATTGTTACATAAACAATATATGCGTTGTATGGGGAGTTGAATTGACTTTTACTACATTTAAACATTTTAAGTTACATATTGGTTGCTATGAATTATTTTTTACTTAAGTGTGTTTTTTAACTAGTCGGAGAATTTTATAAATTAATCTATTCTTTGAAGAACTGTCAATAGTTTAAAGTGATTCACATCTTTATGTTACAATAAATTGAATGTAAATATTTAATTTATGTATTTAAAAAAATACGTATATATACTTGTATCACAATAAAATTATCATAATGATAATCATTTTGTTTGTTTGTTTGATCTAAACAGAAATATCAAGGCTTGAAAAGGCCCAGGCCCCTTGTGTTGTCCTAAAACTGATAACTGAAAACAGTTTTATAAATAAATAAACTTAGACTTGCCTTTGACGTAAAATCGTTTTATTTTGCAAAACAAAAGATTTTAGCCTGAAATTAATTAAAAACTAGAACTATCACTAAATGTGATTAATACTCCCCCGCAAGACTGCTTCGGAAATGAGGAAGTTACTAGTAACAAAATTCATTGTAAAAGAATTGAAATAGAGTTATGGTTGTAGGCAATTAAAGATAGTTGGTGAAGTTTAATTGAATTACTATGAAAAAGTCCAGAAAGAGTTACGCTTCTTGAGCACTGCCCTTCCTCTCATTGCACTTGATCATTGTTTGAATTCTAAACATTAGTTTTTTGTTATGCATCGGACATGGAAAAGGAAAAAATGGCAATAACTCTACAAATACTGAAGATGGAGTTATGGATATTGTATACTGCACTTCCTCTCATTGCACTTGACCATGGTATGAAGTTGTATTGAATTCCAACTACTAGTTTCTAAGTTATGCACTGGACAAGTAAAAGTAACAAAGGACAATAACTCTGTAATTAGTCAAGATAAAGTAATGGTTCTTGTGCACTTCATGTCATCTTCCTGTCCTTGAACATTAAATGAAGTTTTATTGAAGTTTCATTGAATTCCGACCATGTTTATCCAAATTATGCACTGGACAAGAAAAAGTAACAAAGGGCAAAGACTCTTAAATCAGTCAAGAAAGAGTAATGGTTTTTGTGTACTGCCCTTCCTCTCAATAAATTAACCATTGTAACAAACTGTATTGAATTCCAACTAGTACTTTTTAAGTTATGCTCCGGACAAGGAAAAGTATCAAAGGGCAATAACTCTGTAATTTGTCAAAATGGAGTTATGGTTCTTGTGCACTGCACTTCCTCTTCATGTGCTTGACCATTGTATAAAGTTGTATTGAATTCCAACCAGTAGTTTTCAAATTATGCTCCGGACAAGGATAAGTAACAAAGGGCAATAAATCTTTAATTAAGCAAGATGGTGTTATGGTTCTTGCGCACTGCACTTCCTCTTAATGTGCTTGATCATTGTATGAAGTTATATTGAATTCCAACTATTACTATTAGTCTTCAAGTTATGGACCGAACAAAAAAGAGGAATGAAAAAGTAACAAAGGGCAATTACTCTATCAATAATTTAGATAGAGTTGTGGTTCTTGTGCAGTACACTTTACCTTGACCATTGTATGAAGTTGATTTGAATTCCAAACAGTACTTTTCAAGTTATGCTCCGGACTAGTAAATGTAACAAAGGGAAACAACTCAGTAATTAGTCAAGATAGAGTTATGGTGCTTGTGCACTGCACTTCTTCTCAATGCGCTTGACCATTGTATGGAGTTGTATTTAATTCCAATCATCAGTCTTCATGTTATGCTCCGAACATTGACCGACCACCAGGTGACTCCTATCACCTGCCCCCTCCCCCCCCCCACAAACTTCGTTTCGGGGGTATAACAGCATTGTTTCATGTGGTGTTTACGTTCTGTGTTGACTATCAATAACATAACCAATACTTTATATATTCTAAAATAAAAAAGGACGCAACTGCTAAAACTATTGACTGTATTATATAGCTGTATAAAATTTTGAAATAGAGTTACAGTTATTTTTCTAAACATCATTATATTAATGGTGTGAATTAAAATGTCCTTATAATGTGCTCAGATCATTTCATAAATATACCTGCAAAGCAAACAATCTTGCTTGAGGTTATGACCTCAAACCATTCCATAAGATTCTTTGAAAGGAAACAACTCTATTGCTTTATCCGAAATAACCCACATATAGTTGCTATGAAAGTTACTAACTTCTATTTGAATGCCCCATTTGCTATGGAAATCTAGAAAAAGTGTGATCCCTCGGAAGCACTTATTATGACAAATTTACATGGAAATTGCAGACTCGAATGAGTCTGTACATGAGGGATAATGAAAAATTGCAACATCCCTCACGCCCGCCCCCTGGCACCAGCCATAGTGGTACTCATTTTTTGATACTAACAAGTGTTGGAATCAATGATCTTGAAGGACCAGAAGAATAAAACAACACTGAAGTAAAGTAAAGGGCAACTTTCACAATTGCCTTACAGCACTTGACGCCAGCTGTTGTGAAGTATAAAAATCTGAATAAAGTGTGATAAATGTTTGCAGTATAAAGTCACCGTTTGCAATGAATTTATATGGTTGCTTTGGAAATTCAGTGGTTGTTATTGTTGTAAATGGTTGCTATGGGAAGTCAATGGTGGTAAAAGAAGTCTCAGGTTGCTATGGAACTGAAAATGATTGCTATGGAATGTCACAACTGGTTGCATTAGAAAGTCACTGGATGCAATTTTAAGTCAGTTTCTTGCTATGTGAATTACTAGTTGTAATGGGAAGTCACTGGTTTTTATAGAAGTCACTCTTTTCTATTGAAGGCAATGGTTGCTATGGAAAGTAAATGGTTCCTATGGAAAGTCAATGGCTGATATTGCAAGTCATTTGGTTCTAAATTCTGGAAACAAAGTGATTCCTCGGAAGCATTAATCACAACAAAATAACATAAGAATTGCAGACTCGGTTTGATTGAGTCTGAACATGAGGGATAATGAATATATGTAACATCCTTCACGCCCCCTAGCACCGGCTTGAGCGGTATTCAATTCTCAACACTTTATAGTGTTGGCATCAATGATCCCGAAGGACCAGAAAATATAACAACACTGAAGTGAAGTACGGGGCAATTTTTTACGGCTGCCACACGGCACTTGACACCTGCTTTTGTGAAGTACAAAATCCTGGAAACAAAGTGATTCCTCGGAAAGCATTAATCACAACAAAATTACATAAGAATTGCAGACTCGGTTTGATTGAGTCTGAACATGAGGGATAATGAATAATTGCAACATTCCTCACGCCCCCTAGCACCGGCTTGAGCGCTACTCAATTCTCATCACTATATAGGTTGGCATCAATGATCCCGAAGGACCAGAAAATATAACAACACTGAAGTGAAGTACGGGGCAACTTTTTACGGCTGCCACACGGCACTTGACACCTGCTGTTGTGAAGTACAAAATTCTGGAAACAAAGTGATCCCTCGGAAGCATTAATCACAACAAAATAACATAAGAATTGCAGACTCGGTTTGATTGAGTCTGTTCATGAGGGATAATGAATAATTGCAACATCCCTCACGCCCCTAGCACCGGCTTGAGCGGTACTCAATTCTCAACACTTAAGACGATTTTGGAAAGGTAATAGTTGCTATGCGTCTCACTGGTTCCTATGGGAAGTCACTGGTTGCTTTAGAAGTCTATGGTTGCTATAAAAATTCACTGGTTGCTATGGAATGTCAATATTTGCTGTAGTAAGTGACTGGTTGCTATGGAAAGTAAGTGGCTGAAAT